GTGTAAACGGGGCCTGAGTCAGTGCTGTACCGCAGCACACACACCTCACACTTCCCATCACATGACACACCTCACGCTTAAGACAGTCTCGTTTCCAGTGAATGATCCAGTTTCAGTAATGGACCAGTCATATTTGGAGATTATCATCAGATCATGTTTAATAGCTGGGTGGCGCCGCCTGTTGGTGAAATCATGTAGTGCTGCCAACCACTGTCAGGACAATGAGGCATCAGACGGAGAGTAGCTGACTGTAGTCTCCACCACAACTAGTGCTAACCCTCCTCTCTCTCTCTGTGTGCGTGTGTGTGTGTGTGTGTGTGTGTGTGTGTGTGTGTGTGTGTGTGTATCTCCTCTCCTCTGCGCTGCTCACCTGTGTGTGTGTGTGTGTGTGTGTGTGTGTGTGTGTGTGTCTGTATCTCCTCTACTCTGGACTCCTCTTGTGTGTTCTCCTGTGCTGATGGTTATTGATGATGATGAGGCTGATCTTCATCATGTTCTCCTCTGATGATGATGATGATGGGAGGAGGCGCTGCTGTTCTGCTCCTCATGTGCACACAGTCGGTCTGCAGCTCCTCATCTCTGCTGTGTGTCAGGATGGGATTGGGCCGCTCCTGCTCTCCTGTGTTCAGTGTTGGGATAGTGGAGTCTGCAGGGGGGTGATGTGGGTCAGCTCATACACACACTGTTTCCCCGCCGGGTCCTCCTCATCACACTGAGGGAGAGGATGCAGGACTCCACCCTGAGCTCTTCGGCTCAATCCCAATTCGGTTGTTGTGCCCCGCCCCCTTCCTCATGAATCAGTGAGTGAAGGGGAGGGGCTTCAGAATGAGAAAGGCCAGCACTGCAGCGGCTGCAGCCGTCCTCATGTGTCATCATCAGCTCTTCTTCATATGGGATCAGAGGATGGCGGCTGCTGTACTGACTCCAGTTGTGTTATTGTTCATCTTCAGGAAACGCCTGAGGGCAGATCTCCGCTCATCATCACTATATAGAGCGGCAGTGAGCTGGTCACGGTACTGTGGGTACAGCGCTGGAGCACAGTGGGGTAGTGTGAGCGGGAGGAACCACAGCAGAGCTCATGCGCTTTACAGCTAACACTAGGGCTGTAATGATACACGATATGACAGCAAAATCGCGACACTCAGATCTACGATCCTGTGTCACGGTGTGATAAGGGAGAATCGCGACACACCCGTGACTACCTTTCCAATAACGTCACACGTGCCTGCAAAAGTTGAGCTAGTTGAAGAAGAACGTGAGGAAACACTTTTTTTTTTTTCGCTCGACATTACGAGCACCGCTCCGTTTAAGCCCTCGCAATATGCGTTTAGCCGGGAGAACTCACGCTGAGAGGAGCTCTTAGTAAGGGACCGTCTGAATGTGTCAGGAATATCAAAAACAAAACCAACATAACCCCGCTTAACAACAGACAACGGCAGAAACATTGCCAGTGCTGTCAGAGCGGCCGGATTTTCCCCGCTACGATGCTTTGCTCACTCTGTTAATGTGGCTGCGCAGAGAGGGCTGGCCGTGCACCAGATGCCCCGACTCCTCTGCAGAGTCAGGAAAGTTGTCACGTTTTTCTCTGCAGTGTTGACATGATGGTGTTTCTGCAGAATTTTCAACTTAAATTAAACGAGTTTGGTTTTCTTGAGAGAAATAAGTTGTTTATTAGTTTAATGTTTACTTGATTTGTGGTTTGCAGCACAGGTTAGGGTTAGCCCTGATATTAACAGCGCAAACTTTTCTTTATAAAGATTTTTCAAATGTTATTTAATAAAAAAAAAAGTTAAAAAAAAACAATTTTCCACCCCCACGAAAAAAAAATCGTGATACGAACCGAATCGTGGGCTTGGTGTATCGTTACAGCCTTAGCTAACACACATCCGTGTACCCGCAGCCTGAGCCTGCATTAGGAGATGATTTGAACAATGTTCACTGCAGTGTCGTGCGCGGCGAGTTCACACACTCACACAGCGGATTTGCCGGTGCGCGGGTCGCTGAAGGTGGTGGTGCGGGTGTTGTGGTCCACGAAGTAGCGGACGCCCTCGCGGGTGTAGCGGATCTCCCAGCCCTCGGGGAGCGGGTCCTCATTCTGGAGCCTGTGGAGCACACACACATAAGCACACACACGAACACACATGTACACCCCCACCCCCTACCCCACCGCGCTGCACACACCCCTGTGTGCGCGGATCTTCCCACTGCGTGGTCTTCGTGTTATGATTGACGAAGTAGACACGGTCGTTGGTGTCCACGCGGCGCTCTGAGAACACACACACACACAGACACACAGGGTTAGAGGTGAACAGCAGTGTGTGTGAGTGAGTGTGTGTCAGTGGAGACAAACTCACCCCAGCCGGGCGGCAGCGGCCCTAAAGGGTCATTCTCAGCAGACATCATGGAGGCCTGCACACACACACACACACACACACACACACACACACACACACACACACACAGGTGAGCAGCGCAGCCGTGAGCGTGACACACACACACACACACACACACACACACACACAGAGAGAGAGACGCGTGCGCACCGAGTACAGGTATCTCTGGTTGAACTGGTGCATGGCCCCCTGCAGCTGGCTGCGCTGAGACTGCCACTGCTCGAAGTTGCGCACGGACTCCATGGTGGGCCGCTGCCAGGTGGTGGTGCGCGTGTTGTGGTCCACATAATAGATCCGGCCGCGGTTATCCACCCTGCGCTCCCATCTGCACACACACACACACACACAGAGTTACCCACAACACAATCCCAGTCCCACAGGAGCGACAGAGTGTGTGTGTGTGTGTGTGTGTGTGTCATCAGTGTTGCTCTGCATCTGCTGATGCTACAGGTGTGTGACGGGTCAGTTAGACATTAGCTGTTAGCTAGCCTCACCCCAGTGGCAGCGGCTGCGGTCTCTCCCAGGTCGTCGTTCTCGTGTTGTGATCCACGTAATACGTTCTGCCGTGAGGATCCTTCCTCTGCTCCCAGCTGAGAACACACACACACACACATTCAGCACAGCACTCGGGGTGGGGGGGTGTTAAGGTAATTAAATGAGTCTGTGTCTGTGTCTGACCCGGGTGGCAGTGGCTCCACTCCGCCTGTGGGCTGCTGCTGTGCTGGTTTTCCTCCGTCAGGTGCAGGTGTGCTGGGAGCAGCAGGTGTGTGTGTGTCCGCTGCAGAGAGTGTGTGTGCGGCCGCGGCTCCACCTGCAGGAGAGGAAGAGGAGCTGCAGGGAGCATCAGCCGCAGCGCTCTCACCCACACACGCCGACTCACTGGCCTCGCCGTTCACTGCGCACACACACACAAACACACACACACACACACACCGCACACGCACACGCACACACGCGCACACGCACACACGCACACAAACACACACATACACACACATACGCACACATACGCACACACACGCACACACACGCACACACACACACACACACACACACACACACACACACACACACTGATTCTCCAGCAGCTCTGTGATGGTCAGTGCACTCTCTGTAGTGAACACTTGAGACTCACCAGCTGCACTGCTGGAGGCCCGCTGTTCTGGGGGTGTGGCCTGTGTTGAGGGCGTGGCCTGTGCTGAGGGTGTGGCCTTAGGACTGGGGCTCTGGTGTGAAGGGGAGGAGTCTCTGTCTCCATTGAGGAGGGGGGAGGGTCTACACTCACTGCTGGCAGAGGAGGTGGGTGGAGCTTCATTCTCTGCCCCGTCTGAGCCATTCACAGACCTGCACACCGCAGCGGATCAGCCAATCAGCTTCACCCATTATGCAGATCAGGAGGAGCAGCGCAGAGCAAACACCTGAGAGTCTCACCTGTGCTGAGGCCGTGCAGAGCTGTCGTCTGCGTCCTCGTGAAGAGCGTCTCCATTCTGGTGGACTTCTGCACAAGACAGACACACACAGACACACACACACACACACACACAGACACACACACACACACACACACACACAGGTGAGGAGCTCTGCAGGTGTGTGTCAGGGTGAGCTCAGGTGTGTGTTCTTACTGCTGGCGGTGGGTGTGTTAGAGCTGTGCAGGAGCTGCGGGTCCAGTGAGAGCCCGTCCAGGAACACTGTGAGTTCTCCGGTGGACACGACGCCGTGTTTCCCCTCCGCAGTCAGAGGCAGCACCTCCCGCACGTTCTCCACTGAAACAACAGCACAGCGTCGTCATGACGACACCCGCTCACAGCACAGACCATCATAACCACAGCAACACAGCCTGAAGCACACTCTCCAGTGTTATCTACACTAGATGTCCCCTATGCTGCTGTTGTCCATTGGAAGGAATGCGTCAATACAGCCGCCATTCTAGTGCAGGGGAGCGCTACACCCCCCACCCCCACCCCCCACCCCCGGAGATTATATTCTGCCTCACTTCCCTACATGATGGATGAGGAGGCGCACAGCATTGCTGATGAAGAGTGTGTGCTTGTGTGTATGGAGCTGTATTATCCCCCCTGGCTGTTAAATTTGGTCTAACCCGTGTCCTGACAGTGTGTGTGAACATGCGTACATTTGCCATCATGTTTGCGGAGGGTCCCAATCAGGTCCAGTGCGGCTCGACCCAGCAGCGCATCCGCCTTCAGAGCGTGATGACTCCAGACCCGGAACTCCAGCGGCGCGTGTGGAGCTATATTCCTGCACACACACACACACACACACACACACACACACACACACACGCACGCACACACACACACACACACACACACACACACACACACACACACACGCACACAGAGAGAGAGAGGAGGGTTAGCACTAGTTGTGGTGGAGACTACAGTCAGCTACTCTCCGTCTGATGCCTCATTGTCCTGACAGTGGTTGGCAGCACTACATGATTTCACCAACAGGCGGCGCCACCCAGCTATTAAACATGATCTGATGATAATCTCCAAATATGACTGGTCCATTACTGAAACTGGATCATTCACTGGAAACGAGACTGTCTTAAGCGTGAGGTGTGTCATGTGATGGGAAGTGTGAGGTGTGTGTGCTGCGGTACAGCACTGACTCAGGCCCCGTTTACACCAGTACACTTCAGCTTTACAACAGCGTTTTAGTGTGATCGTGATCTGAATCCACACTGGCGCTTCACCCCGCGTTTCTGAACAGCTCTGAGTCTACACTACACCACTGAACACACACACACACACACACACACACACACACACACACACACACACACACACACACACTGTGCACGTCGGACTGTTCGTCATGGATCTCCCGCTGGATCTGATCTCTCTGTAGTTGTTGATGGTGGTGTTTAGCTCATCTTGTTGTCTGTATCCGACCACAGATTCCCGACTCTGCTCTTCTTGATCAGGTGACGGGTTTGGCTGAGCGCAGAGCTCAGTTCAGATATTAATGTGTGTAAGCGTGTGCAGGTATTCTGCAGTGAGCGATCGCTCGCCTTTATTTCCTATATGTATGGACTTGTTGTGTTCTTCTGTTATCGTGGCCATTATTGATGATTAAGCTGACACTGAGCAGAGAGGGCTGTGTGTCGTATTCTCACTGATAATGAGAGGAGGCTGTGATGTGCACACAGTGAAGATGAAGATGATGATGATGATGATGTACATCTGCAGCTCCACGACGCCTCCACATCTCTGCTGTGTGTTCAGCTCATATCAGACTGAGAGTCGGTTGTGCCCCATCTCCTGTGTTCAGTTTAGTGTTAGGGTCAGCAGCTCATACACTACACTGCGCCCTTTAGAGATGTGCCCGCGTGTCCTCTGGAGTTTGTTTAGAGATGTGCCCGCGTGTCCTCTGGAGTTTGTTTAGAGATGTGCCCGCGTGTCCTCTGGAGTTAGTTTAGAGATGTGCCCGCGTCTCCACTGGAGATTGTTTAGAGATGTGCCCGCGTGTCCTCTGGAGATAGTTTAGAGATGTGCCCGCGTGTCCTCTGGAGATAGTTTAGAGATGTGCCCGCGTGTCCTCTGGAGATTGTTTAGAGATGTGCCCGCGTGTCCTCTGGAGATTGTTTAGAGATGTGCCCGCGTGTCCTCTGGAGATTGTTTAGAGATGTGCCCGCGTCTCCACTGGAGATTGTTTAGAGATGTGCCTGCGTGTCCTCTGGAGATAGTTTAGAGATGTGCCCGCGTGTCCTCTGGAGATAGTTTAGAGATGTGCCCGCGTGTCCTCTGGAGATTGTTTAGAGATGTGCCCGCGTGTCCTCTGGAGATAGTTTAGAGATGTGCCCGCGTGTCCTCTGGAGATAGTTTAGAGATGTGCCCGCGTGTCCTCTGGAGATTGTTTAGAGATGTGCCCGCGTGTCCTCTGGAGATTGTTTAGAGATGTGCCCGCGTGTCCTCTGGAGATTGTTTAGAGATGTGCCCGCGTGTCCTCTGGAGATTGTTTTCCATATTAAGCTGGTGAAGTGTGAGCTGAAGGAGAGGATGCAGGGCTGAGCTGTGTGTAGGCTAATCTATATTGAGGGAAAGGCCCAATCAGAGAGGAGAATGCCTGCAGCCCCGCCTTCATGTTCAGATGTCTCCGCCTCCCCCATCCACACTGACACACAGCAGCAGCGCTTTAGACTGAACACGGCCTCTCCAGCGTTTCCAGAGCGCTCCGCTTTCAGCTCTGCAGTACTCTGGCGTAGTGTGGACGGATGGCGACACGGTAGCAAAACTTCTGCGCTTAAACTAAACCGTATTGCTGTAAACGGGCCTGAGTGTGTGTGAGTGTGTGTGTGTGTGTGTGTGTGTGTGTGTTCAGTTGTTCTTGCGCAGCCCTGCAGCGCTGTACAGTAATCCTCCTGCCCTGCAGATACAGCGGCCAACACAGCAACAGGCCCAGGCCAGCGCATGATGGAGAGGGCGGGTGGTGTTCCAGCAGCGGGTGTGGACATACACACAGCGAACACCAGCAGCTGGAGAACACTGATGAACACAGACGCAACACACACACAGCTGTAGTGTTCACGATTAACTAACTGGTGACAGAGAGTGTGTGTGTGTGTGTGTGTGTGTGTGTGTCACTCACAGCGTCAGCCGCTCCTCCCACTTAGGGCTGGACACACAGTGGGATTTGGCAGTTTTCCGGCTCTCTCCGTCTGACGTCACTTCCACATAGACAGCCGTCCCGAACCAGTTCTTCTTCCTCTTGAGTTTGGCACATGAAACTGACACACACACACACACACACACACACACACACACACACACATTCAGCATCTGGAGAAGCGATGTCACTTCCTGTTCCTGTGTGCGCAGGCTTACCGACAGC